ATACAAAATAAATTAAAAATTGAGAAGTGACTTTTAATCTATTTCCTAAAAAGGCCAGAATCACCCGATACTCCAAGACCGCTTATTCAAGACGTTGCAACATATGTCCGGCGTTGATTGTGTACAACAAAATATGAGTCCATGACTCATTTATTTTGTATGCTCCCATGCATAGATCATTATTAATGGAAAAAATAAATAAATCATTAATTCATTAATTAATATGATAATCATAGCTAGGGATATATGATTTCATTATGTTTGCTTTTATTTTTATCGTATTGTGCTTGAAAAATGAAAATTAAAAGCAAAAACCAAAGATATATTTATATATATGTATAAGTTACTTTCACAAGCGAATACGATTGTATTTTTTTTTTTTGATCGGTAAAGAAAATCTTTATTGATGAAAGCATGTAAAACGATACAGAATATCAATAAAGAGGAGCTTGGAGCTAAAGGAAACTCCAAGCTCCAGTTGGTGAGAAACCAACGAACAAAAAGAGAACAAAAAAAGAACAATAAAAGCATAGCAGATCAGACTACACCCTGGATCCATACAACTATAACACAGCACCAAAACAGAACAAAACCAATCCAAACCAATACTGAAGTTGAGAGCAGATCTGAATAGAAGCAATCAAAACTGAATCCAGAACAATGAATCAGCCAATGAAGCAGTCAAAACTGAAATTGAGCTCAGTCAGAAGTGAAATCCACATCTAAGGTGCCTATAGACTAATTGGATCTCAAAGCAACAGACTTCCACCCAACCTACACTAGAGCTAAGAACTACATTGCAGACTAAATAACAAACACAGTAACTATAGAGTAGAAGCCTAGCTTCAGCACTATCAGCAGAGCAATTCAGCTGCAGACCTGCAAAAACCATTACACTTCCACTGATGGCAATCCAAGGTTATATAGCATCAAAAACCAAGGCAAAACCATTACTGTTCAATTACTGATTTAGAGACCCAACTTTGATCTGGAAACCAAGCAGGTTACATACCAGCCCAATTACTGATTTGGAACCCCATCTCTGATCTTGATTAAGGAATCAAAGTGTGCACTACCTAAGTAGTCCCAACAACTCCACATTACTGTTCTTAATCTGAAGGAAGCCTCCAACCTGAAAGAATTCTCCAAAAGTAGGCAGCCACAAATTTCACCCTCAGCAGCAATATCCACAGCTCGAATTTCAGTGCTAGTAAATGGGTCACCTACTTCTGAGTTCTCTCCCATGAAAGGTCTTAGGCAACGAGATTCGCTTTCTCCGTTCCTCTTTAATATTGTAGCGGAGGGTCTGAACATTCTCTTGGAAAGAGCTAAGGAAAGGGGACTGATTAAAGGAGTATCTGCAGGTCCAACTGAGTTGAAAATTACACACTTGCAGTTTGCTGATGATACCATTATTTTTTGTGAAGCTAAGTGGGAGGAAGTTGTAGCCGTGAAAAGAATCTTAAGGTGTTTTGAGGTGATGTCTGGACTCAAAATAAATTTCCATAAAAGTAAGGTGTGTGGGGTAGGTATGCAGGATGAGATTGTCTAGGTCTTGGCAAAGAAACTAAATTGCCTAAGTCAAAAGTTGCCAATGAGTTACCTGGCCATTAGGAGCAAATCCAAGGAGAAAGGCTGCTTGGAAACCTGTGATAGTCAAGTTTAAGAGCAAGTTAGCTTCTTGGAAGAGGAGGTATTTATCTTTTGCTGGAAGATTAACGTTGATCAAGTCCATTTTGACAAGCTTGCCAATTTATTTCTTATCTATCTTTAAGTTGCCAGTGGGCATTGCAAAATTACTTCACAAAATTCAAGCTAACTTTCTTTGGGGAGGGTCTGAAATTAGGAGGAAAGTGCACTTAATTAGCTGGAAGGAGATATGCCTAAGTAAAAATAAGTGTCTACTAGTTAAATGGTGGTGGAGGTATGGAAAGGAGGAGGCAACTTTGTGGAAAAAAGTGATTTGTAGTAAGTATGGAGGTTTAGATGGCGGTTGGTGCCCCTTATTTATTAGTTCAGTGTGGCTGTCGCATACGTGGAAATATATAATATCAGTGGCTGAAGTTAACACTGCTCTGCGTGAATTTTTCTTGCAAAATTTCAGACTAGTCGTTGGAAATGGCAGAAGACTGCATTTTTGGTTTGATAAGTGGTTTGCTACGCATCACTTCTTTATGCTTGATCTGTTTTTTGTTCGGTTTTGCCCTATTTCGCAGATTAACACCATCCTGATCACATGTATTTACCACTGCTTGAGTGCGCTTTCCTTTCCTTACTAGGTTTTCTTTGACTGTTACTCTAAGCTTAGCTTCTTGTTGAGCAAGGGGCCTAAGTTGAGATTAGGCTACACAGTCACTAAGGTTTGAATAATCAGTGATGGGCCTATTCTCCTGTACCCCAACCTGAAGCCCATCCAGCACCACCTCTTAGTTTAGTTTAGGCCTTAAACTCTCTGGCCCACTAAGGCTTATGATAAACCCAGGGGTACATACATGGCCTTCAACAATTTGAATTTCATTTCTTGGGGTTGCCGTATTCACCAACCTACCCTCCAGACTATCTCCTCTGACTTTTTGATTTCCCATGCCATCCTCTGTTTCTTTTACGGCTGATACAGATAGGCACTCATTACCTTCATCTTTTTCCCCTGCATCGCAGTCCACCATAACCTGTTCGTCCCCTACTATCTCCTCTTTTCTGCTCCAATCCTCCTTCCTTGTGTGTTCATCTTCATGTTCCTCCTTGTCTGCCTCACCATTTTTCGACAGTTGGTCCACTTCATCTTGAGCCATAGGACCAGTGACCTCATTTTCCATGTAGGAACTGCTGCAATGACACGACTCTCTTGCTGCTGGGATCTCCGCACACACTCTAACTGGGAATAGGCTTCCATTACATTCAACATGGATCACCGTATTGATAAACTCCATTCTGGAAGTAATCACTCGCACCTTTCCCCACTAAAAAGAATTTTGAGTAGTAATATCATCATCAAATTGAACAACTTCACCCCACAGCTTGCCAATGTCTCTAAATGTATTAATGCTCCACAAATTAAATGGTACACCTGCACATGTTAGCCACACACACCTTTCCTGTTCAACATACTTGCCTTTTTCTCAATCTGTAATAGAATCACACCATTCTAGCATCCACTCTTGTAGCTTGGTTCTGGCCTAATTTTTATGTTGTTGGGACTTGAAAGTTAGCAATGCTACCCTTCCTCCTCCTTCTCTGACTCTTACTTCCTCCATACCTCTTTTACCAACCTCCTTTTTAAACTCATCGAAGGAAAAAAATGATTTCAACTTTACAATTACACTGTCATAAAGCCACCCATTTCCAACTTTGAATGCCTTTACAACCACCTTCATCTTTTCATTACTGCCACCACTCTGGACTATTTCTGCAAACGATCTTCGACCTGAACCATCCATCCTTCTATGCCCAAAACTCCTCTGTGGACGTTGCATCATCGGATCATCTCCTCTGTTAGTCATTGTATGCTGCTTAAACTCCCCTTTTTTGAACTCTGCGTTCTTTACTTTCAGGGCCTTATTGTCGCACCATAAGCCATCAACCTTTAGCACTGCCATTTCGGCAGCCACCTTGCACTCATACCTCACAAAACCAAACCTCAACCCGTCGCTTTTCGTCTTTTGGACGGGATGAATGCATCCTTAACAACACCAAACTTATTAAACAGAGTGTACAAACCCTTCGGAATCATTGAGTTTGGGATGTCATCCACAAAGAGAGTAAACACTCCATAATCCACTGATCTACTGTATTGGTTTGCAACTCGTCTTCTTCTTAGCACCGGATTCCATCCTCCATCCTCCATGGTTTCTTTTTTTCCACAATGGCTTATTTAAAATACGATTGTATTTAGTATATATATAATAAGACTTTTAAACTTCTAACTTATTCTTTGAAGATGAGCGAAGTTTCATGAGAATTTATAACAGAGATGATACTTACAAATATCTATCTATTAATTATTATTATTATTATTTTTAGGGTGGGGTTTAATGGGGGAATTATTACAATATTTTAGTGAGGAAAAGACTATTGCTAATAATACTACACATTTATTTGTCTTGCAGTAGAGTAATTTTATTCGGTTGCATGGCAGTACTTGAGGTAACCATCATCAGAGCTTTTCTTGTCGGGTCTCGTACTTGAAGTTGAAGCAATTAATGCCAGTGTAAACGCCATCGTCCATGTTGTAGGTAATATGCTTCCCATTAGTAAGAGTGTCGTGTTGAGTGTAAGAGAAGGGTACGTCGCATGAACCCTTTGTGGCTAGCAAACTCACCCTGATCCTAGACATTGGCGCCACAGTAATCTTGTACACAGTCTTCACTACACTTGTTGATGTCACAGTTTCTCCCCACTGGTACGCAGCGTTAATCTCAGCGGAAACGTGGATTTTTCCGTCTTCAATGAATGGGGCACCAGTTTGGATGATGGTTTTGACCCCCAATTTCACGGAGACGCTGGCATTCCAAGTAGTGCTCTTAGTCTCTGTATATGAGAGCTTGATATCTACTGTGTTGGGTTCATGGGTCCTATTAATGGAATCTCCATTGGCCATTGTGAGGAAACTCTTGTTGTAGATCCTAGCGTCCATGAGTCGGAAATCGACATTATAGATTTTCCTGGAGAGAACAGTTTCGTCCAACTGCAGGCGTGCCTCTTTGGTTATGGTTCTGACAGCGGCATTGAGACAGCTGGTTTTTCCCTCGGTGGTGAGTCTCTTGCAGAAATTGTTGTTACCCAAGTTGCGGAGAGCGATGATGTTGTCGTCCACTTTGACATGTTAGAATTTCTCCATACCATCCACCTCCACTATCACACACTCCACTACCATCCACCTCCACTATCACACACTCCACTACCATCTTCTCTTCTATATATAGGAATTGTAATATACAGATATCAATGTATCAAATCAACATATCAATCAATAATACATACATCAATTTTAACATGGTATCAGAGCAGGTTTAGAACCTAATATTTTCGCTTCCCCGGCGGGCGGCAACCTCACCTTAGCCGCCCGCCGGACCTCAACCTAGTCTGCTATAAATTTCTACACATACCTTCACTCTTCTTCACCACCTCGCCGAAGCAAACCCAAAGGCGCATTTTCTGAACGAACTCAGAACCTACCATCTCCATGCACTGGCCGATCTTCATAGCCAAAGCTATATCGTAACCCAGCGACTCGGGCCAAACGTTGAGCAACTTCTCCTCCTGTTCGGCGATCCGGCACGCCTCTGCTTCGCGAGCGGCTGCCTCGGCGCGTTTCTCTACCTCTTCGAACTGCTCATTTAGGCCATCAATCTCCCTGTCCTTTCTGTTCATTTCCTCTATGGTAATCCTCCGCATACTCTCAACGACATCCACATTCACAAGCTTTCGCTTCTTCCCAATTAGCCAGCCTCGTGGATAGCTTGCAGCGTCGAAGTCTGGTGGTGGGAGTAAGCTCTCAGCCGATGGTCGCTTACCATTTACATTGATTACGGGTTCCAAAGGTTCAAATAGAGCCTTTCGACGCTCAGAAAGAGCAGCAGCCATAGCTGAATCTTGCTTCTCCCCTTCAGTTGGAGATTCTTTCTGTTTTTCAAGTGCTGTTGCCAAATCCGGTTTCTTTTCTTCAGTGGGACACTCTGCCTCTTCTGCCTGTGGGCTGTGATACCATTTCCGAGCTCGTTTCTTTGATCTTGCCTGACGGTGTCTGGCCGGAGCTCTTGCCGTTTATGTTCCAGTGCGTCATGTCGGTGGGAAAATGAATAAAGAAAAGACACACCATGCATCCAAAAGGGCCCTCTCTCTCTCGGCTAGAAGAGGAAGGGAATAAGTGGTCAAGTGGTGATCTGCAAAGATGGATATACAAAAATAAATAAAGACACAGGAGGGACTTGACCCTCTTCTCTCTTACTTAGGGAAAAAAATTTTTTGGCCCCCCCCCCCCCATTTTTCTTTTGATCTAATATAAAATTTATATTGAAAATTTCAAATTTAATAAATCTCAAAAGGTGGAGGCACACACGATTGTTCTTAGAGGGGGGTGAATAGGCCAAAAACTTGAAACTAATTACCAAGGTGTGGATTAAACAATTCTATTATTCATTCCAATTCTGTTTGCCAATTCCAATATATTAATCATGCATATTCCATCCACACAATATCATAATAATAAATAAAACAAGAATGACACAACGATATATGCGGAAAATCCTTAGGAGCGACAATCCACACTGATAAAAACCATAGGCACTCCTGCCTGTCAAATCCTCTGGATCAAGAATTTACTAAAAAAAATTCCCTGTCCTTGCCCATGTTCTGCTGGACCAGGCTTGTGACTTTTTTAAAATTAGTGTGGTGCTTGTAAAAATATTATTAAGGACATGTTGCATGTATAGAAGTAGCTTTAAGTCCTGGTCTGACAAGATGCTGATTTGCTATAATTTTTCTAATCTAATTAGAGATGGAGCAAGTTGAGCAAGACCCAGATTTCATAGTGTTGTCACGCCAGTTTAAAGCTACTGCTATGGAGCTTATCTCCCTTCTTGAGCAGGTAAAATGTGGGACAATATTCTTTCCCCCTCCCCGGCTCCTGTGGAAACCTCTTTGCTACTACCATCATTTAAACTCTCTCTCTCTTGGCATGTGTGGTTCTCTCTAGTTGGTCCAACTGCTTGTTTTCTGTTCGCTGTTTTGACAGTTAATGGATTTAGTTTTACATGGATCTAAATGTTCTTCATTAGGATATTTGTTAAGTTTTGCAATATAGTCCTGCTCCAAATTGAAATTTTTCTTACCAACCACTGTTTCAGACTCAGTGCACAATTACTAAGTCAATTATTTATTTATTTATTTAATTTTAAGTGGCTTTTTATTGAGTTTATAATATCTCATCTAATGCTCAGCTTTATTTTATATAACCTTTGAATTTGAAATACAGTAATAATTCTTGCGGTTATTTTGTGTCTACTGAATTAATTTTGCCTCCGAAGGTCAGTGCTACTGAGTTCACAGTGGAATCCAGCCAGTTCTGTGGTTGAAATTCTTTCTTTTGATATGTCAATTTTTCAGTTGTGGAAAATCTTTCTATTTTATGTTTTTTTTTTTTTCTTCTAAAGATACTGTTTTCAAATTACCATCCAGTGTGATTTTGTAGAATTTTACCATGGCTGTAAAAAGAGCCTTCCATGCAATTGTCCCATTTCTGGAACTGGTGGTTGTCAAATTGAAACAATTATATGAATGTTAAGTTAGCTGGACTTCTGGAAAATTGTGCGACTTCGTGGACAAGCAATGTCTGCCTAAGTTGGAAGTTAAGAATCTTGATAATGCCATTGGTTGCTTAAAATTAAACCTCATTGTACTTGATTAACATATTACTTGGGAATACTTCTTTCCATTGTGCGGGCTTACCATTTGTGAGATTGCTAAAGGAACTGCATTGACAGTCCATAACTTGGTATGGGGAAACATTGTTTCGCAATAACGATGATGACAGTGATTATGCCAATGAAGCATCATGATATTATTTTGATTAATTTGAAATTTTTATGTACTTATGTTTTTGTGTATGTTAGAATTTACCACTCACCTACTACCTCCACTATCTTTCTCCACACCTACCACCTCCACTATCACACACTCCACTACCATCCACCTCCACTATCACACACTCCACTACCATCCACCTCCACTATCACACACTCCACTACCATCCACCTCCACTATCACACACTCCACTACCATCCACCTCCACTATCACACACTCCACTACCATCCACCTCCACTATCACACACTCCACTACCATCCACCTCCACTATCACACACTCCACTACCATCCACCTCCACTATCACACACTCCACTACCATCTTCTCCTCTATATATAGGAATTGTAATATACAGATATCAATGTATCAAATCAACATATCAATCAATAATACATACATCAATTTTAACATGACAGGCCAAAACAACGTGTCGGAGTTGTTGCTGGCAGTGGTGGTGTCATCTGAGTCGGCCCAGATCCAATTAGGGCTGCGCCTCCAGAACTTGCCGAAGAAATCAGACTTTATGCGAATGCTCCCGCTACTAGTGGTGAAGACCTCGTTCCCAACTCTTTCGTCTCCAATGTCACTGGATGCGAACTGCAGATATGGGTGTCGCTCGATCATGCGGGCGCTGAGGTACTTGCCATTATCGCCCTTGAAGGCAACGTGCTTGGGCAATATCAACAGCGATTCCCAATTGATGATTGTATAGACATCGCAACCATCTTTGTCAATATTTGCGGAATTGGCCAATAAGCAGGCATAGCGTGGGGGTGGATCCCTCCATAAGCATACATAGCGACCGAGTTGGACATGGCGAAATCGGACACCATCAGTGCCCTGTACATAGATGGGCTCGAACAAAGTACATGACCATATGGATTGGTCTTCATTTGGTTCGTCAGCCCCAGCAACAATCCACCCCTGATTATTGGGAGACCATCTTATTACCAAGTATTTGTTGTTGTAACAGCACCTTATGTGCACCAGATGTCCATTCTTTCTTCCACTCTTTGCCCACTCCACTTGGAACTTTACGTACGGGCTCACAACCTCCTCTCCCGAGAATTGGACAAACCCATGCACTTGTTGCACATCTTCATTTATGTACCGCAAGTATTTGTTGTTATACTTTGATTTCAGCACAATAAACCTTGGCAATGCCATTGTTTGTGGTTTTTTTTTTGTTTTTTTTTTTTCCTAACTCAAACTGGCATGATGCTATATATAAGAGAAAATGGTGGTGGTGGTGATCCAACTCCGACTCATTAAGCACTCATTTGGCATAAAGAGTTGGGAGATTTTTTTTGGCTATTTTATCGATAAAAAGATAATAAGATAAAATGTCACATTCAAATTATAATTATTTTATTTTTTTTCTCAAAAAAGTCAAAAAAGCCAAAAAAACTAATCCCAAGTTTCCAGATTAACCTTTTCCATTCAATTTCATTTTTTGTCTGTCTGGTGCATAAAACAATAAAGACGTGATTAATCTTCAGATGTGATCATATCAATACTAATGCACCGGATCCTATCAGAACTCTACAGTTAAGTGTGCTTAGAAGAAAGTAGTACTAGGATGGGTGATTCGCTAGGAAGTCCTCGTGTTGCACCTCTTTTGCCCATTTCTTCTTCTTTCCTCTCCCCTTCCCATTTTTTTTTTCTTTTTTTTACCTTTCTCTGGACAACTTGCTCAGTTTCTAACCAATTCAATTGCCTCCGCTACTGTTTCGACAAATTTTCTGCTTTTGAATTGTTTCCAGATTATCCATTTCTTAATTTCATTTTTTGTCTGTCTGGTGCTTCAAACAATAAAGACGCGGTTAATCTTTAAATACCATCATACCAGCACTAATGCACTGGATCCCATCAGAACTCTGCAGTTTTACGTGTTTGAGCGAGAGTAGTACTAGAATGAGTGACTCCTTAAGAAATTCTCGTGTTGCACCACTTTTGCCCCTTTCTTCTTCTTTTTTCCTCCCATTTCTTTTTCTTTGCCCCCCCCTTTGTTTATTTCTCTTTTCACCCTTCTCCGGACAACCTGCCCAATTTATAGCCAATTCAATCACATTTGCTACCATTTCAACAAATTTCCTGCTTTTGAACCGTTTCCAGATTATCATTTTTCATTCAATTACATTTTTTGTCTGTCTGGTACTTAAAATAATAAAGACGCGGTTAATCTTTGAGTACGATCATACCAACACTGATGTACCGGATCCCATCAGAGCTTCGCAGTTAAGTGTGCTGGGGTGAGAGTAGTACTAGGATGAGTGACCCTCTGTCCAAGTTAAAATAATCAAAAAATCAAAAAGTCAAAATATTAATCCATCTCACAAACCGACCACTTTCTTCTCCTTCTTACCTTGTTTGCTTCCTCTCTTTTATCAAATTTATTGGGGTTAGCCTCATTTATTTCATTTCAACAACTCCAGGATACACAAAAACATTTCATAAACTAGGGAAGTAACCACCACATTTAACACATACTCCCTTTCAATATTAAAAGTCCATTTTAAAATTTAAACTTTTTAAAGAAATATAATTATTACATTTTGAATGTAAATTTTAAAGGTTTAATTTCAAAATTAGTCTTCTATTCTTATTTTAAAATATATTTATAATTATTTTATTAGGAATCATTTTTAAAACTTTTAAATATAAAATTTTAACTTTTCAAGATGAATACATATTTTAAAATAACAAAAAAAGTAAAATAACGAACCGATAAAGTAAGACAAAAGGAGTAATGCACATATTCCACTCGATTTTTTTTGAGGTTCACTCCACTCCACTTGGACGTGTTTGCTTTTTTTTTCCACCATCTACCCGTTGGGTTTAATTTGAGTTTGCGTATAAATTCTGTGGACCTGAAATGGATTCTCACTTATCTGAAAAGGAGGGTAAGATGATTGCGCTAGCTATAGGTTGTCGATTTCGATGGGATACTTCGGTTACGTTTGAGTATTGATTAAGAATTTTAAAATTAATGTTTTAATGTAAGCTTTAGTGAGGTAGAACTAAAAGAAAAATAAAAAATAAAAAATCATATCACACGGTAAGTTTCACTATTAGAGCTTCAATTAGGGTTTTAAAATTATAACTCATAATCATTTTTGGTTAAGTTATACAATAATGTTAGGTGATCCGAATTTTCATGGTTCAAATGGCTCGAATGTCCCAAAACGATATCGTTTTCGGGCCACACAAATTCGGACCACTAAACAATTTTCTAAGTTATAATGCATTTTCATAACTTTTATTTATGTAACCATGTGTAATATTTTTTACATGAGTTTCATCAATAAATTTCCTTTTGCTGATCAAATAAAAAAAAAATGACTGTGAGAAGTTAAAAGGAGAGTATGAATATTATTCTCTCTTTTGTATGCATATATCACTATAAAAAATTAAGGTTTTAGAGATCAAAATGTAGGGATAAAATTATTTTTTAGAGACCAAATAATTTTGTTGCGAAAAGTTTGGTTATTATATTTTTAGCAACAAAAATTAGACATTAGTAATGAATTATTATCCTTTTGGGACCAAATTTTTTGTCTAAAAAACTAAACCATTTTGAGACCAAATTATTGTCCCTAAAAGTCTATTTATTAGTGACATTTTCAAAAATTTGTCACTAAAAGCCTTGTTTTTAACTTTTCGGGACAACGTTTTAGCAACTATCCTCATGATAATGTAAATTAGTCCCTAAATATTTTTTACAACAAAATTTTCATTTTTAAAGACCAAAATATTTGGTTTCTAAAACTCTTATATGGTGGTAGGAACAATTTAAGCGATTCAACTGAACACTTAAATGTCATAATTAACACAGGACTGGAGCTATAAAGAAACACGACGGAACTGGTGGAGCAGGTGGATGGCAGCCTGTTATGTACAGGAGAAGAAGACCAGTTCAGAGGGTTGGAGTTCAGAAGAATAGACTGGGTGTCATTACGGTCTTTGTAGACAATATTCCATGGTCAATGAATCCAAAAGGTTTGTTTCAATTTTTTTTTCTAAGTTTGGAGTAGTTAAAGATGTTTTCATCCCAAACAAGACCAGGAAGTCCACAAGATCTAGATTCGGGTTTGTTCGATATGATTGTCCAGTGGCAACTGATGTAGCAATCCAAAAAACCAATGGGTTATGGTGCGATGACAAGGAACTTCATGTGAAGATGGTAGATTTTGAGAAGGTAAGAAGTAATAAGAATACAGGGGGTGGGGGGAGGGGTGATACAAAAGGTAGCTCCTCCTAGAGACAATTCGAGTGGTTTTGTGGGTAGAAATGATGGTAGGGCAGATAAGGAGCTAATGGGTCATCAATCCTACGCAGATGTCGTAGTTCAAGGCACCAAACAAGGAAATATAGCGCATGTCATAATGAGGGTGGAATCAAGAAATAGTTGGTTGTATGATAGTGTTATCGCCAAATTGAAAAGCTGCTATGCTTTCTCTGAGTTTCGTGATAGTGTCCATCAAATTGGTTCGAAGGACGTTATGGTTAGAAAAGGAGGGGGAAGAATGGTCGTAGTGTCGTTTTCATCGGCAGAGGTCATGAATTCTCAGCTGGTCCTCTTAGATAAATGCCTAAAACAATGGTGTGTATCAGTCACAAAGTGGGAAATAGGGGTATGTTTAACTCCAGAAAGGGGTGTGTGGCTCTGTTGTTATGGGGTTCCCCTGAATTTATGGAGCAATGATACGTTCATGAAGATTGGCCGGTTATGGGGAGAAATACTTCGGTTAGATGAGGATACTTCAAATCAAACATCATTTAGCTTTGGAAGGATAAAAGTAGCAACAAATGTAATGTATTCCATAAACACAGTAGTCTATATCAAATGCAATGGTATATTGTATCCAGTTAGAGTGTGCGAAGAGCAGGTTATGGTAACTAAAATGATGGGTGAACCCTTTAAAGTGAAGTCATCTTTGAAGAAGGATGATCTTTGCAGTGCAATTGGGATGTTGAGCCATGTTGCTGGGCATGGTAAGCATTCGAACAAAGAGGAGGCTGCGGTAGAGGATTTAGTACAAAATGAGCTGGACACCTACGTTGATGTGGAAAGATCTTACAAGGATGAGATGACAACCAATGGACCTAGGGTGGTGGAGAAGATTCTGAATGATTGTTCTACCTCGATAGTGGATGAGACGGTAAAAGTTGCTTCGGGAAGACGAGTGATAAAAGCAGGCATGGGAACAACTTCTGTTAAGTTGTGTACAACTCAAGGTCATTATGAAGGAAGCAAGAGTGAGGATGAAACTGGGCTGCTTAATGGGTTTATGAGAAGTTTGAGTGGTAATGGACTGGATAAAGACGGAATATCACTAGAAGTTAACTTGGGTGAAGCATATCATATTGGGTTATCAAATAGGCCTCTTATCAGGTGTGGGCTTGGATAATACAGGGTTGTAGGCCTATGGGAATGGATCAGTACCATTACCAGTACATTACAATTTTGTTCAAAGAAACACAGGTACGAAAATGGGTGAGGTGAAGTAGAGGAAAAAGCTGGTGAGGAGGACGGGACGTCATCTACTAGCAGCAGCTCGATGGGAATTCAAAGAAAATGAAGTGGTGGGAGTAGTGCGAGAAATGGTGGAGCATTAATTATGGGTAACTGGAGCAGAGGTGCTGTATTTAGGGCAAAATCGAGGCTGGTAGCAAGATCTGTGTCACATGGGTCGACAGCAAAATCAGGTTCAAATGAGAGGTCTTCGAGTGTTGTCAAGGTCTTACAAGAAGAGGCAGAGGCAGCAATTCACTTGGGCAAAGCTCTAGGCATCTGCTTTGAAGGAAAGGAGGATGAGGTAATGCTAAAATTAAAAGATATGGAAGTCAAGGATAAAGAAAGGGCAGTACCAAGGGGTGTAGAAGCACATAGTTGATGTGCTAGTATTAGGAGGTATAAGGTGGTAATCAATATTTATTAGTGAAGATAATATCATGGAGTGTTAGGGGTTTGGGTAAAGCTGAAAAGATGAGGAAGGTTAGGGGTATAATTAAAGATAGGAATATTGAGTTTGTTTGTTTCCAAGAGACAAAGAGGTCTGATAGTTCATCATTATTTGCTTAATCGTTATGGCTGGATGAAGATATGGAGTATATGGTAGTTGACTCTATAGGAAGGGCATGGGGTCTGTTGTGTATTTGGAAGC